GATATCGTCCTCTTTTGGAAGACCAAACAAAGTAGTTTCGCTTTCACAACGAAGCACAGCATCTCCACAACATGGCGGCAACGGCAACAACAATACTACAGCGAGAATAAAAGTTATGCCTTCTTTCTTTGCGTGAACATTTGGGCGGCGTTATGCAAATCTTCCCACATTGTGACGTAGACATGTGGGGGCGTGTTAGAACGAGCCGTTTTAGGTAGGCTTGGTTGACTCTTAACTTTTATAAAGAATATCTCTTTGGATTTGAGACTTTAGTCTTTGCAACTTTACAGATCTTCTTTATGCACCAAGAGCTTGTAACACTCCAAAGAGAAAGGAACAATTGAAATTGCATCATATGACCCCTTTAAGAGTGTTTACACTCACGATTGACTGAATTTAGTGATATTCTTTGATAATGTAAATGTTCTTTGCTCGCTGTATAATTTGTTCGTTGTTTGAATAATCATGGACATGCGGCGTTATAATTAAACTTAAAATGTATTTTTATTAAATGTGATCAGGTCTTATTAAAATATTTTATGTCATAAAAAGGAACTTGCCTAAGACGTTATGATGTGTGTAGTTAATAGATTACATTAGGCTTCAGTGGTTTGAGCGCGTTTGACAAGAGACTAGAGCGCAATTAAAGAGCTGAGCTTATGTGATTGACGGTGGCCATCTTGAGAAGCGAGAAAGCTTTGAAAAATGGCTCATAAAAAGGACGAGGACGTGAATGGTTTTTACAAGTCGGAATGTCAAATTACGGTAATATCGTATGAACATTTCACATGAAATTCTGTCAGTGTGAGGGGGAGATGTAGGGATGTGCTGTGAGGTGCGCAAGAAAAATACAACCGTACTAGGCTATGTATTTCTGGTCAGCTTAATACATAATTAATCACAAACCTATCACAAAAATCTTGGGGATGATCGAGGGGCTCGAGGAAAATCTCAGACCTGGCCCTGCAGCACCCTCAGCACCCCTAGTTCCCGCGGCCATGCCATATTATAATAATATTTTTATACAAGTTATATATAACTCAGTTGTACCTGAGACCAGAACGTGTATCTCCACTCTTAAACTTTACTGGCTGAACCATAGACGTGTCACTCTTCATAGACACATGGCTGGGCTCTGCTTCTGATCTCTTCTGATGAACTGAACTAAAACATGGAGAGATTGAAGTTAATTCTTTAAATTACTGTATTCAACAAATCAGATAATCATTTATCATTATCAAATTCACTTTAAAGAGCAGTTTATAATAATTTCCTTCACACTGTTTATATAAAAGCTGTGTGTATGTGTATGTTACCAGAGTATGTGAGCGGAGCGCGGAGTGGATCCGCGATGAGCGGATTTTTTAAAAGTCGGAGCGTTGTGGTTTTCTTTCACTCCAAGAGCGCTCCATCCATCACGAGTACAATTCATGCCAACGGCCCATAATATAACTGCACATTTAGCAAGAATTCACATTAAACATATTTAGCTAGCTTGATAGAGATGGATCACTCAAATCAGAAACAATGTGAAGGCTATGTTGACGGCAATGGACATAGCGGGAATTTATAGGGTAGTTATTAAGGAATTTGTTTGTTCCCTCTAGATACTGAATATTTTCAGGTGAAATCATCACATATACAGTGCTACTTCATCTGCATCCGATTTCGAATGAGCAGAAATCTGTAAGAAATGCAGCAATCCGTAGGTAAAATAACTGACGAAAACGTACTGTTATTTTCATCACAAACAAAATTTGCACTGCAAAAAGCATCAATAGCCTACCTTTTAATGCTGACAACCATGTTATTAGCTTGACAAGCTTGACATAAAAAGTTTGCACACTAGTGTTCCAATAATCCACTTTGAAATGCTCCTGTCATTTTATTTATTTTATTATTTTCTTTTAATATACGTTATGAACCGAACTGTGATATTTCAAACATACTGAAATACTTTAGCCGCGGAGTGGTGTTTCTGATATCAGTGAGCGAGGAGTGGAGCGGGAGCGGGAAATGGTGAACCCAGAGCGGAGTGATTATTAAATGCTTAATTGTTGCCGCTCCACTCCGCTCGCATACTCTGTATGTTACATTATCAGATACAGATTTAAAAAATACCCACAAACAAAGCACAAGAAGAAAATAAATACTATACAATAAGAATGTTTAATACAAATTATATATAACTCAGTTGTACCTGAGACCAGGCCGTGTATCTCCACTCTTAAACTTTACTGGCTGAACCATAGACGCGTCACTCTTCATAGACACATGACTGGGCTCTGCATCTGATCTCTTCTGATGAACTGAACTAAAACATGGAGAGATTAAAGCTAATTCTTTAAATTACTGTATTCAACAAATCAGATAATAATTTATCATTATCAAATTAACTTTAATGAGAAGTTTATAATAATTTCCTTCATACTGTTTATATAAAAAACTTACATTATCAGATACAGATAAAAAACAAAGCACAATAATTTCCTGTTGAAAATACATGATCAAATAATTACCATATTAATAATAATTGTATACAAATTATACTGTATATAACTCAGTTATACCTGAGACCAGGCCGTGTATCTCCACTCTTAAACTTTACTGGCTGAACCATAGACGCGTCACTCTTCATAGACACATAGCTGGGCTCTGCTTCTGATCTTCTCTGCTGAACTGAACTAAAACAGAACAGATTAATACTTTATGATGAGAATCATTTTAATATAAGATCTTCATAAAGTATTTTTAAGAAAAGCTCTCGAAGAGGCTTTATGGTCTTGTCTTTAATAAATATTTAACTGGTTATTTAGGGTGTTTACACTTGAAGTTCGGTTCTCTTGGTTTATTTGGTCCGAGGCCAAAAAAGAAAATGATACATTTAGTCCTGTTCACATCTTTTGACATCATGTCCAGTTTTTGGTTCATTTAGATGTCTTTGATCGGTGTTCATATTTTAGTCAAACCGCACCAGTCTGGGAGTGGACTGAGACCCATCTTTTCAGGGGTCTGCTCATTTGGTGTTCACCAAGGTTCAGATGGCCGTGTTCACACATATGCAAATTAACCGCACTAACACAGCAATCACACCAAGATTATTTGTTAAAAGGAATGCCTACAAATGTCTCCTAATGTCTCCTGGATTTCCGATTAGAAGGTGCTGTAACGAAAGTCCACTGAAGGCAAGTTGTTGATTAACCCAAGTGCAGTTTTATTAAGCAGAGTGTAATCCAAAGTACAAACAAACGAAGACTTGACTTGAAACAAACAACTTGAAACAGACTCCTATTTAGCACCCAAACTCTGGAACAATCTACCTAACATTGTTCGGGAGGCAGACACACTCTGTCAGTTTAAATCTAGATTAAAGACCCATCTCTTTAGCCTAGCATACACATAACACACTAATATGCTTCTAATATTCAAATCCGTTAAAGGATTGTTAGGCTGCATTAATTAGGTCAACCGGAACCGGGAACACTTCCCATAAGACCGATGTACTTGTTACATCGTAAGAAGAATGGCATCTACACTAATATTAGCCTGTTTCTTTCTTATTCCGAGATCACCGTAGCCACCCGATCCAGTCTGTATCCAGGTCAGATGGTCACTGCAGTCACCCGGATCCAGTCTGTATCCAGATCAGATGGTGGATCAGCACCTAGAGATGACCTCTACAGACCTGAACGTCAGTGGAGACCAGGACACCAAGATGAGCCCAGAGACAGATCCCCAGTGAAGACCTCGTCACCTAGACGGCCATCGGGACAAGACAACAGGAACCAGATGAGTCCTCTGCACAATCTGACTTTGCTGCAGTTGGAACTGAACTGCTGGTTTCGTCTGGCCAGAGGAGAACTGGCCCCCCGACTGAGCCTGGTTTCTCCCAAGGTTTTTTCTCCATTCGGTCATTCAGTTTTGGTTCCTTGCCGCTGTCGCCTCTGGCTTGCTTAGTTGGGGACACTTAATATCCAGCGATATCGTCGACTTGATTGCACAGATACTATTTAAACTAAACTGAGCTGGACGATGACATCACTGAATTATATAATGAAATGCCTTTAACTGAAAATTGAGTGTTTAATATTGTCATTTTACATTATTGACACACTGTTTTCCTATTTGATACTGTAAAGTTGCATTGACAATCTATATTGTTAAAAGCGCTATCTAAATAAAGGTGACTTGAGTTGACTTGACTTGACTTGGCATGGCATGAACAGACTTGACTAGAAACAGACTAGTCTTAAACAGAAATACAACTCACAGACAGCAGGTTACACAGTTCAATACTCGACAAGAGACAATGGCAACATGAGGGATATAAATACTAAACAATAAGGGTCACATGACATAAAGCAACCAATGAGCAAACAGAACTGAGAACCACATGACAGGACAATAACCAATAGGCTTGTTCGACTTCATGCGGCGCCGCAAAGATCGGCTGCCGCCTGACAAAAGCAATGCATTCTGGTTAGAAAATTTGTCCAAATTTGATCGGCACTGCAACTGCCTTACGATCACATGTGCCATCAAAGTACAGCGAGAGCAAAACGAGACCAGCCACTGAGGTCAGGTGCTGCAGTTGCAATCAGCTGCAGGAGCCTTGATGACGACACGCTTTATTCTCATTGGTCAGATTCTGTGATGACAAGCACGACATGTGTTGCGTGTTAATTCTAATTCGTGTTTTTATAACAGTAAAAGCATTTTTAGTGTAGTCACACTATTATCTTGAGTCATGTTTATCAAAAAACACTGATAAAATCATATATACTCCCACTTTATTGGTATTTAGTACCCTATTTGTTTATGTTGAACTTTATTCTTGAACAGATTGTGCTGTATTAAGCAGTATATAAAAAGTGTTTCTGTTGGTCATAAAAACGTTTCTTTGTATTTGAGAAATATTGCATTTAATTCACTTTATCTGTGATAAGACTGTGTAAACACCGTGAAAGTGTCGCTACCGGGAGCAGAAAGTGTCCGACTTGACGTATCCACTTTTAATTCCGCCCCGACTGCAAGCGGCTACTCTCGCCAGCCGGTGGCAGGCTAGTGTAGTTCATCTCAAACAAGCCTAATGAGAACCAAGACACATGACTAAAACAACCAATCACAACATGACACACAGACAAGAGTAGCACATGACATGATCACATGAAGGGCAAGGAACACATGACAGAATACATGACTGTGGCAAAACTACAAAATAAAAGACATGAAAACCTAAACCAGAAACAAAACCCAAACCCCACGTTACAGGTGCACACGGTATGTTTGTTTATTTTTTGGATTTCATCTGTTAATTTGCAAAGTTAATGTACCATGTGTATTGATATTGGTTCAGAAAGAAACAGACTTGGTTAAACTGTGGTAAGAACAGAAATACTCACACATTATGTATATGAATGTCATTTTATTTGTTTCAGTTTTTCACGGTGTCAAGACGTAAAGATGTCAAGACGTTGAATCCAAAGGGTGTCCAATGATCAAGTGGTGTCGAAATACGATCAAGATGTCGTGGTGATGACGATCAGTGTTGGGCAGTAGTGTTGCTACAAGGTGTGACGCTACTAGTTTAACTACATTTCTCAATAGTGTGGTGGTAGTGTCGCTGTTTTTTTAATCAAATAGCTTTTCAGTAGCGAAGCTCTTTTGTTGTAAGTGCGGTAGGGTTAGGGTCAACACAAGCTACATTTTCCCAAGCATTTCTGAAGCTCAAGCTTAAATCAGAAATACAGCTGCTAAGGGTAGTAGCTTCAATGTAGTGAAGCTTGATTTAATGTAGAGTAACTGCAAGCTTAGCTCACTACATTTTCCAAGTAGCTTGCCCAACACTGATGACCATGATGCTTACTCTTTGCAAGCAAGATATTAAATGCCAAGACATTAGTTCAAGTGTGATTCTTTTAATAAGAAGAAAACTTTCAGGAGCTGTTACAAACAGGCTCATTGAGTAGGTCAAGTTAACCCATATCACCCAACGGTTTCAAGAAATGTTGTGATGAAGTTCTTGAACTACCAAAATAAGGAGAAGGCTTTGAGAGCAGCTAGAAAAATAAAGGAGTGATATGAAGATATGAAGGACAATGGATCATCGTAATCCAAACAAGAGGGGACAAATTAACAGTAATTTTCATACTCATATAAAGCAAAGGTCTACAAGTTATTAAAATTACCTAACATATGTGAAATAATGATTTATTACATTGTCCTTTTCATTATATGCATATATGCATGTAAAAAAGTTAATGAATAACTGGGCAAGGGTCAATTTAAATTACACTTGTGTTTTGTCATGTTCTTGGTCTAGTATTTTTCACTGTTGTGTAGCGAGCCCAGTGGGGAGAATAATGATTGATGGCTTGCAAAGTTTTGCACCATATAATATGGATCAAAAGTTCTTCATAACTAAAGTTTGTGCCTGGGGGTATTTTTATGCTTTCCGTTTGGGGGAATGCATGGGGGTTCACTTTGTTTGCACGTGTGTGTGTGTGTGTGTGTGTGTGTGTGTTTTCTCTCCCTTTCTTGCAGTAAGTCATAGCCCCGGAGCCCAGTGAGGTCTTAATGCGGCCCTGGTGATAGTAGACTTCTCCTTTTTGATATTTTTTTTTCTCTTAATCACATGTCCTAGCCCTTTAATATTCCAAGGCTTGCAGTGCTTTTGACCGTATTTTAGCGAAAACAACGTGCCAAAAGTGTAAGCGTGGAAAAATGGAAGTCCAAAATGCCTGTCTCCGACCTCGTCAACACAGTCGTTTGTGTCTTAGATGAACATTAATAGTTAAAGATAAAGCATGTGCACTAGTTGGCTATTATGCGATCCTGGCATTACCGGTATATGATGAGATTTTAAAGGGATATAGTTCACCCAACAATTAAAATACTGTCATCATTTACTCCGTTTCAAGTTGTTCTGAACCTGTATGAATTTTAGTTTAATTTACTTTGTTCTCCTCAACATAAAAGAAGATATTTTGAAGAATATTCGTAACCACCGCAAATCATTTTTTCTTGCTCTTGAAACGTGATTTACACCTTTACAAAGCTTCTCTTGCGCATGCAAATTTAATTTACGCTTACAGTCCTAAGCACACTTCCACAACTCTTACCCTGCGTTTGCAAATCTTTTAGGCATCATTTTACCTTCATAATTATGGTCTCTGGTCAGTTTTGACCACAAACAACATGAGTATGACTCCCAAATGAACAATGTTAATGTGTTACTCAAAGTACCTGCATCCTGGAAACAAATCTTCATCTCCAGATGTTTGTGTTTTATCCATGATGATCTGAACAGTTTGATCTCCTCCACTGACTCTAGATGGAAGTGACAAATAAGTCATTAGTACCTTATTAATAAGTAATTAAGCAATCTTATATTGTCATAAGTCATTTTATTTAATATTTAAAGTAATTCTGTATTATAAACAAGATTCTGTCTGTTTAAAATGGTGAAATATCAACTCATTTACATTCACTTTTATTTGTGACGAGAGCAGTATGTTACTCAACTCAATCTCAAGCCAAATACACATAGCGGTGCAATAATGTTGGTTTCCAGTAAGTGTTCTGGTTGCTATTATTAGCAGATCAAGTAAATTATATGTTGTACAAATGGGGGATATGTTACACTATGATTGTTTATACCGGGGTGTACAAACTTAGTA